TCCCTAAAATCCTCCAGTGTTTTCATCCAGTGATCTCAAAGTACTTTCAGAACACTAAAAAATGGAAAGGCTCATATCTTCAGCTGGTTTAAATCAGTATAGCTGTTTCTGATGGCATAGTCCTCTAAAGCAGGCATTTCTTGTACCCACTTCACAGATGAACCAGCTAAAACTAAAAGCTGGTAAAAGACTTGAATAAATTACTTAGTTGTCCCTGGAAAAACCTCGAAAGAAAATGCTGAAGACTCTAAGTCCATTACTTCAACTAGGAGAAAAAAACCACCCTATAAAAGCGCCGTTATTTGTTCAGTTATACCAGACTTGTGTTTTGCAAGAAATATACATACAATGCGTTAGTGCTATTAGAATGGGGGTTTAGCCACCAAACATAGGTCTGCCTAGTTTCTCAGTTTCACATCCTGGAAATAAAATATTGTTCCAAGCAATTGCTATATTGTCCTACCTTAAAATCACACAAGTTAAAGTTGTTGAATGCACGGGATGATATGAACAGATCAGAAAGTATATAAAAGATTCCCCCAATAGGTATGTGGAACTTATGGTATCTATTATTTTTATGTGTTGTTTGCACATATGTTTTAATGTAACACAGTATCAAGTGATGTCTATTCTCACATAAAGCTATATAGCATTTCTGTACAACTCTCAGATAATATTTTGTCCACATTAATTGAGTTTATATTAGTGTCTCTCACTAAAATTTTTGTTTGCTTTCGTGACATTTCTTAATGCCAGTTTTACTGTCAGCCCAAGTTCACCAAGGCCAAACTTAAAAACTTTCCCCAAAAACTCCTTGCTGACTGTCATCTGACCATCAGCTTTGTCCTGGACTTATCCTCCAAGGTATACCTAAATTCTGCCAATTTTATCTGCATTAGTTTCTAAGCTATATATTTGATATAAGTTTTCTCTTTACAGCATTTATTTTCATATATTTTCTTTTATCCTTAGAGGTTTTCTTTTTCTATCTTTTTAATAATTTTATTTCTTCTCTATTTTTTTAATAAGCACAGTCAATATTCCTGTCCTTGCCTTTATTTTATAGTTAACTTATTTGCTTTCTGGATATACAAAATATATTTTTCATTTTTTCTTCAAGGGGAAAAAGGTACCACATCAATACAAAATCCTCACTACTTACTGTAAATCATGGTAATTTCACTGGGATTTACACATGGTATTAAATTTAAGCACATGCTAAAGTGTTTAAAGGGTCAAGGTCTTCCATGGATGCACCCAACTTAGTAATTTCAAATGTTATAATTGTAGGAGTATCTAAGTGCCACCGAAGCAAAAGTTTTAGAAGCACCAACTGCTTTCTTTCTTGGTTTTTTTTTTTTTTTTTGGCTTTTGAAGACATTTTCAGAGCCTACGGCTATTATTTGTGGGTTCCTTTTTAAATGAATAATTATTTTGGCATCCTGCATGTAAGTTTCCTGAATCATTACAGCTGGAATTGCAAGATCTTACGCACTCATATGAAATATTGACTCCAATATCTGCTTGTCGTTCTATTTTTATTATTCATAAAAGGTGGTTTCAATGTAATGATAAGAACTCTTCCACATTTTATCTATGCTATGTCTCAGAG